TCTGTGCGAACTTTCATGGCGAATAAAACCCTTTCTGATTCTGATTAAGTAATTTGCTTTGCTATCAAAATATATGATAAGTGCCCGTCCATACGGATGCACATTTAAGTTGGATAATAAATAATGCGCTACAGTCTGTCAGAGCCATTGCCCGAGAGCGAGGTTCATGTCCAAATTACTTGGCGATGGCTGCTGCTGCTGCTTCTGCTGCCCTGAAAAGGCAAAGCGGTATATAACACGCGACGTTTTGGGCAATGACCCTTCTCCACAGCACTCGACCTCTGATCTCTCCATGCGCCGTGAAGAAAGGGCCGTTGCCCGAAACGTCGCCTGTTATATACGTACCTGTTTATCTGTTGAGGGCCACGGTGTTATTGACGAATGTGTTGAGTTACCAAAAACAAGTGCATTGTGTTGGTAAACATCGTTTGCCAAACTCAACTCCTTGCAAACTCGCTACTAAAGTAATCTACGTTGCAATGCAAATTCAGGCATTTATACGCTAAACGCACCTGATTGTTGGTAACAAAATAGATGAGCAGATAATGCGTCTCCTTCATGTACCCTGCGTCTGTTGGGCCGATTCAAATAAAGAGAACAGTCTTGTCCGCTATGAGCCAGGTACCCGAGTGCGCCTCCCGTTCATTGCCAACACCAGTGACGTTTATCTGAACCAGTAGCTGGGCTTCCCCTAGGTAGACTCCGCCTCAAATGAGTACCTGGAGCTGTGTATAAACATCGCCACTAAGGAAGCCAAAGGAAGCCAAGGGCCGTGGTGCTGGCCATCCACCCCATCGTGTGCTGTGCTGGCATACGAAGATCTTCGCGAACAACTTGCCCAAAAAGTCTACAGGCTATGGGGGAATGTCATTTGTGTGTGTGTGTACGTGTGTGTACGTGTGTGTGTGTACGTGTGTGCACCATGTGATATTGACAGGGCTGGTTCAGTTGAACGTATACATCTTATGTGTACGTGCATTTCCGACGTGGGGCTACAGAGGCTTATCGATGTGAATTGGTTCATGAAAGGTATAAAGTAATTACGCATAAGCCTAAAAAAGTTAAGTTGCATTTCCTTCACACAAAGGTATGGACCGTGAGAGATGACGATGGCGTGGGGAGATCTTCATCCAGCAGTGGACTGACAAAAGGCCGTGTGCATTGCCAATGTCGAATTGTTCCTTCGCACAACATTAACGAGTCTTTCATCTCTCAAAAAACATCACATTACCAAGGAAAACACTCGCACCCAAAGACCAAGAAAGCGTCATTATTTTGTTAAAAGTATATTTCAGTTGATGAAGCGGACATGATCATAAGGGCAGCCCTGCACATTGTGCGCATGCCAAAACAGTACAGACTTGGTCGACGTCCCATGTCGTGATGTACAATACGGTACAGTATTATATATAAGACATACATCATATATAAGACATACATCATATACACATATATAAGACATACATCATATACACATATATAAGATATACATCATATACACATATATAAGATATACATCATATATACATATCATTGCCAGCGTGGCTCCATGCTCGAATGGGCACTGGGAGGAGGTCCTGAGCCGGTGGTGGAAATTCCACATTACTATGGCGGGGGTCATCCTTTTAGAGGGATCGTTGACCATTGTTGATCTAACCTGGACCACGTGGTGGATAAGGTTATCAAATTTGGACCACGAAGCCCCGCCATAAATGGGCTATGCCTACCGATCATTGGTCCCGACGGACTCCCCATTGGCAACCACCGACTCTGCCAACCTCGCCCACGAATTATTTGGTGATGCTGCTGCTGCGTTGGCAGCGATGCACAATAACAAAACAATCGCTTTCGTCAATAACACTATGGCCTTACAAATATATGAATAGGTGACGTCTCAGGCAATGGCCCTCTCTATGAAGAGGAGCCATTGCCCAAAACGTCGCCTGTATTTTTTCTTTTAAGGCAGATTGTTAGTTTTATCTCCCACTAATGTAGCCCCCACGCGTTCACAGGCGATCAACGTTGACAGAACCTGCAGCACGTGCAGCAAGTGGTCAGTGCCGAGTTTACAGATTGGATGGATGGTGGTGATTGGAGGCGTAACGAAGCATATTAATTTATATTGATGTATAATCTCACGATGATACATGCATTAAACCGGGTGTGTATGAATTCACGTTTTTCTATTCGGGTGTGCCGTATGCACACGGAAATTCAGCTGACTCCTGCAGCCACACTATCTTTACCAGTGTTAAAAACAATTTATTATTGAATCATCGCGACCCAGGACCGCCAACAGCGTGTGAAGCGGTACAGGTGACCATCTCAAATACCACGTGCTGTTTCTGCTCCACGCCAATACCACCCCGGTTCATTTACACTATATACGCATGTATATCTTATATATATAGATTTATGTAACATGCATAGTCAGTTGAGTTGAGCATTAAAACCGCATCAGTTGATATCGAGCCTCTGTACAAATATGAACATCAGCAGTCACGTGGCCCAGGAATTTCGAGTCGTCGTCCACTGCGGACAGATTCGAGTCACGTGGGTGCGGGGCTGCACGTGGGGGTTTGGGATCTCGGCATAGGGCCTTTTGCGCGTCAAGATGACGTTTACAATAGTGCACAATCTGCACAACGGCCCCTGTGATTGATACCAGCTCAAATGAGGGAAAGATTGTGGAAGTGTTGTTGTAAAGTCAGCAGAACAAGAAAAAAGGCAATGCGTACATTTTCTCCGGCTGTTAAGATTTGCCTCTTCAGCGAAAAAAAAAATGCCTGGATTTGTGTTTTGTAAGTTTGCCCACTCTATTTTCTTAACGAGCTGTGTGTGCAATTAGAATCCAGCCGTTCCCGGCTTGTGTGTGCAGTCAACAGTCAGTCTCTATCTGCTGTAGGCGTGTGGTCAAGTACGTGGGGAGCCCTTCATCCAACGGTGAAATGATAAATGGCCGTACATTATTTTTTGTTTATCATCATATCTACCCAGAGCCAGGACCCTCCCTGGCTGTGCGGCGTTTCTCCTTCGGTGCACCAGCAGCCATTTGAAATTATTTCACTGCACACGCAGCAGCAGCAGCATGCAAGCAGCGTCCGCCTTCACCCAGCAGCTCAAAGCTCTCACCCCCCCCCCCCCTTCTTCATGGTTCACCTACTCATGTCCCAACCATTCAGGCCCTCATCTGTTCAGCCTGGCCTATGAAGGACTTTAAAGCTCTGCCTCCGTTTTACCAAAGTTCTCGATCAAACATCGCATCCGATTCGTGAAATGTGTGCCTGCTATGAATTGTTCATTATAATCATAATTATCTTCATCGTAAGTTCTTGATTAAGTCCGATGGCTGTGAAGCTGGGGAAAAAATTGCTGCAAAAATAATGTCCATGTGTACCGACCGGAAAACTTAGTTCACTAGCTTTGCTAAACCATTTAACAATCGTCGAATATAAAAAGGTGTGAAAAAATGATGAACACGACAGTAAAATAAAACTCTTGCAAAAGATGTTGTTGTTAAACAATTTAAACAAAAGAGATGTCTTCAAGCTTGTTGTGGTAAGAACTGAATCACAAGAGCTGCCGAGAAAAAAAAAACGAAGACCATTTCGCAACCGCAGGGTCCAGTTCAAGAGTTCAAAGCACCAAGAGTTTAAAGAATACCCGATTAAGCAAACGGTCACTACAATATTTGTTCATCCAGAAACATCTCAAGCCTCTATCTCGGGAGGGCTCCTGCATCATTGGGACGTTTGATCAATGTTATGAACGAGTGTTTGGGTGCGATATCGTCACAAGCTTACCCTGCTCATTGTTTTTTTCGGTAAAGTCACGTATGTAGAAATACAACAAAATTATATATTAAATTTCGATTTAAAGCTTTCGTGACTGCAATGATTCATCTTCTTTGGTTCTTTCGGTAAAGTCACGTAGAATGAGAATAAAATAATAAATTGATAAAATAAAATAACACAATAATATTCTCACGACGTTTCGGCCACAACACAAGCGGCCTTCATCAGGTGAAGGGGGCGAGACTGTCGTGAGAATATTATTGTGTTATTTTATTTTATCAATTTATTATTTTATTCTCATTCTACGTGACTTTACCGAAAGAACCAAAGAAGAAAAATTATATTTTTTTGTTTTTTTTAAATATAATTTTATTGTATTTCTACATACGTGACTTTACCGAAAAAACCAATGAGTAATTTTATGCAGTCACGAAAGCTTTAATACTTTAAGCTTACCCTGGTTTATTTATTTTGCAGCACGCAGATGATAAACTCGCGTCTGGCTTGACAGTACGAACGAAGCCATGCTCTGTTACGCATATAAACACGTGTATTCACCTGAGTAATCGATTCCTAGATTGGCCTTCTAATGACCGATCCAAGAACCGATTTGAAGGTAAAAAAAAATCCATCAGTTTCCGTCTTCTATTATCACACCAATCGTCGCCATTGAAACCACCCTCCACGCACCCACACACGCCCGTAAAACCTCGGACCCACGTGGCATTTGTATTGCTCTTGCATGTACGCAGATGCAATTGTTTGATTAAGCTGCGGTTACTTAGCAGGTAGGGAAGATGTAGGCGCATTGGTTAAGAGGGAGAGATGGGGTGGGGGAGGCGAGTCTGTAAAGTTAGTTTGCAAGGTGAAAATACCTTTGGCTAGATATAATTGCAGAGCGCACACTCGCATGTATTAACGGATGATCCATACACTCTGCACCACGTGGTACAAAAACAAGGGCCTCGCCGACATCCGTTGCCATCACTGGTTTGCAAAAAAATATATAGCAGGTGGACGTTTCGGGCAATGGATCTTCTGCAGATCAGAGTGAGATAGGGCAGAGAGGTTGACCGATTTTAACATCGGGAGATGACATTTGACAACGAGAAACCTGAGAAAAATGGGATGTGTTGACAACGTTGGTGAATGAACGGTTTTTGAAATTGACACGGTTAACAGTTTTCCACCGGTGGACATTACGCATCATGTGACCCGTGTAAGAGTCGGTGTTTTATCAAGGCCTGTGAAATCAAACCGATTTTTATTTACATTTGACGATTCATATACCGGCGACTGTGGATGTATTAAACTACGTGGACTTTACGCGTTGTGTTTTTTTTGTTTGGAAAAGTTTAACCTTTTAAATCAATGACGGCAAAACTCTTGGGGCTGCACTGGCAATAACGCAGAATCAAACATCGAAAACTAACACCACATAGATGAAAGCCTTCTTATTAAATACATAAAATAAGTACTACACTCCTCCAACATAGAGCCACTGGCCCCGATTCAGAGCAATGAAAACTTTAAAATAGCGACTCCTGTAGGGCGTGAATCACGTGTTGATTGAAACTGTTTCCCCCTCCCCACCCGACTTGATAAGAAAAGTCCATTTGGAATCAAATGGTTTGTGCCGGATGGAAAGTCATTTTCTTTTCAAATCTTGACCGCTTTCCGCCGTGGGAGAAATCACAATAGTGAGTGGGGTGGGGAACAGGGTGGAGCCGAGTCAGGATGAGGGCGAAAACGTTTTCTCCGAGGTTCATCAAAGGCGGTTCTCACCGCGGTGGTTTCTGCATCAAACCCCCGTTTGCCAGCAGTCGACCTGGGTTTGATGCCAATTTTGCCAAACTTTGTGGATGCCCTGCGCCCCTGTTGTGCGTCTACATCAAGCCAAGCTCGGGAAAAAAAATATGTCTAGTCAACGAATGTGACTTGGCAGGAATATTATCAAACATACTCCGTGTTTCCGGCGAGGAAACAAAAGCCTCGCCGGGTCTCAACGATTTTTTTTAAGCAGGGGACTTGTGTATTTGGTGTGTTAAGGCGGAATCCTTCAAAGTGTTTGGCATCTGTGGGAGGAAACGGGAGCAACCGTGAAAAAAAACCCCACGCATATACGAAGGAAGATAAAACTAAAGTATCCCACGCAGTGAGGTTCGGCGATGTTCAATTCACTGTGGTGCAGTGCTGCCACCTTCTGTCAACAAAATTCCTTGAGCCACTCTTAAGTGGGGGTATGATAAATTGTGGAGCGTGTAAAAAAAAGATATTTAAAAGAAAAACCTTTGTACAATGTCAGGAATTAAAATTATTTGAAAGTCGTTTGCTGTAACGGGTCGTTAAATTTGCACAATGCCACGAACAACAGCGCCCCTTCTGGAGGCATATACAGCGAAGACTCCACAAGTCCGTGCTACTCTAAGCCGCGCATCTTTAAATATGGAGTTCCCGCCCACAGGTCCACGGAAACTCCTAGACTCGTGAGGAGGAAAAAAGAATGCAAGAAAAAAATCGCGATTTTGCGCGAAAATTTATCGTCGCTTTCAGTAGGTTTTTTTCTCCCATCGCAATGTATCGCCGATGAGAGCATCTCTCCCACATCGCAGCGCGGAATGGAGGAGTTTCACTGCAATCGCAGACCACAGCCATCATTATCCGATGTCAGATTCCGTTGATCCTTAAACACAGGCAGCTATGCTTCACCAGTGGTCGTAAACAAACTCACGTAAAAAAAAAAGACGTACACACACACAAGATGCAGACGGGCAACCGGGGAAGGTTAAGTTATCCGCGCATGAGTTTGTCAAGGAAACATAAGCGGGTTAGAACAGACGATGAATTGACTGGTCAGAAGAGTAAAGTGGGCCTTGGGCAGGACACGCTGAAGGAAATGATGGCCGGTGGTGCGAGACCAAACGATGGAAGCGGTAGCCAAAAAAAAACCCACCACACCCCGGAGGATGTCCACAATAAAGCGGACAACCGAGGGCAAATGTTTATTTTTGGTGTAACTTATGAGCGTTCCTCCGGCCAAGTCGCAGCCGTCTCCGTTGGGCGCCTGCCGATAATTCTGCCCGGTCGTGCGAACTGCAACACCACTGCAAGTAGTACAAAATAAATAAACCACGCGTTGTTAATTAAAATGCAACCAAAATGTACACACGAACCTTGGCAACTAACTCGACATTCACTGTCGACGACAGATTAAGTCGATTTACTCCGTAAGTGGTTAGTTGCAACTCTTGTATATGTAAAAAAAAAACGTAAAGCTGTCAACAATTCACGATATTTGTACAAAAACATTTACATGAACCCAAGGTACAGGTACGTAATTGAGCAGTGGGGGCCCTGGGTGTCAAATTGTACAATATAATACTCTTTGGTTCTTTCGGTAACGTCACGTAGGTATAAAATAAAACAAAATAAATGGCGACGTTTCTGGCGCGGCACGTGTTCAGTCATCCCACCTGACGATGGACGGACGCTTGTGTTGTGCCCCAAAACGTCGCTATTTATTTTCTGCCTACGTGACTTTACCGAAAGAACCAGAGAGGATGGATTCCCGCAGTCACGCAAGCTTCAAATCTAGATTGTACAATATAATATTGGTGGTGGGAGCAAAGTAAAAGCCAGGGTTGCAATTTTAGAGGTTGTACCTCCGAACCTAGAGGCTGCATTGATAGGTCACCAGTGACCTTCGGCAGCGGTGTGATGATGCAGCCTCACCAATTCAAATATGTTCTTATGCCGACGATACAATGTTTTACAATCTAGGCAAATTGTACGAACTTCTTTTGCTAGGGTTACATTTGGGCAAACAGAGAAAACCAAACTGTACAAACGAAAACAGAAAAAGGAAAGCAGAAATCGATACGCGCGAGATGATACAAATGAGACAAACGGGACTGAAGTTTGGATGGAATCGCTGGGCTGGTGGTGATTGGTTGCAGGCTGATTCGTTCAGTCACGGAAGGCTTCCTCCTCTCTCTCTCTGTCGAGGTTTCTGTATTCGGCTGCATTTTCAAAAAAGACGCGCAAGCGTTTCGTACACTGGCGCAGAATTTAGTTTCTTCCCACACCGAAAACCTGGCGAGGCTGGTGAAAAAACAGAATTCCTATTCAAAAAGGGGACCACTGTTAAATTAATATCGTCAATAAATACGGCAAAAATAAGGCCGTGATACACTCGGGCCGGGTTCTTATTCAACTGGTGGCCCACGCACCAAACGTGGCCCACGAAAGAGTCTAGGAGTGGCGTCGCAGAGCTCTCAGTCCATAAGCCAGAGCAGAAATCGGTAACCACCCAACTTTAGTAGTCCCCATTTATTTATACGGCCAACACGAGTGAATTACTTGACGACCTCGTTATCGCATAATTCACTGTTATTGGCCACAAAGCCATTGGAACCACTAAAGTTCCACCACCTGAGGTTGGTACCGACAGGTGAATTATATGGCCCGGTTTCATGGACCATTTCGCCAGCCAAGAGATAAAAAGGGATGAGGTGAGAGATAAACAGGAGAGATCTCGCGACAAATGGTGCACAGCGCTCGCGCGTACAAATGTTATGACGTCCAATGTACAGGTGGTGTTATGACGTCGCGCGTCCTGCTAAAGCAAGCCGCGTTTATTGTGGCCTCCTGCACTTGGGCTAATATAGAGCAAGTGTCACGGTTACCATACACCGCCCAACAGTCACCGAAGCATTTGCTATCGTACCAGACAGATCACCGTCATGCTAAGCCATTGCTATATAAGTTGCCGTTGAAGAATCCACGATATCATTGAATTGCCAGCCGGAGACAAACTGCCTTTAAATTGTCCTCCTCCAAGAGTTTATCGTGGCCTTATATTGCGTACCGATACAAACCGTGGTGTCAGGACGTGGATTTCAGGAGGCGTCTCTTTGTCACGGTGGAGAGCTGTGTACGTTCCCAACCGCTGCTGGGCAATAAGCGACATGGCCGACGAATGGTCATCACGCCCCGCGTGGCCGCCTTGCCTTAGCAGCAGCAGCAGCAGAAGCTCGTTATCGTAGGTCGTCAAGCGCATGCACAGAACAGCTGTCGACCCGCTTGCCATTTCACTCGTCCGTCAATAATTTACGTTTCTCCTTCGATCGGAAGTCCTTTTTTTTGTTTTTTGTCCGGGCCAAAGTTCTCTCTTCTCAAATCCCAGTTGCGTACCGATCCTCCGGACTTGGCCGACGCGCCGTCGTCAGCTGCATTACGACCGTGCGGACCGAACTTCTTATCCGCGAGTCGACGGCCGGCAAAGAAACTGTCCTGGAGCGAGGCGTTTGCGGGAAATTTGCTTCCCCGGCGTTCCATTTAAAGAGGCGCCTCCCCCCTCTACAGTCAGTCATCCATCTCGCCAACAACACGTGCTCTTGCAACCACTTTTTGGACGGAACACGTACACAGCCCTTGATGACGGGTGCACGTGGTTCAGTTAAGTGCAATTAACGTTTTTTTTTCATTTGGCGCGATCATCGCTGATCGGAGCCCGTGGTGATGCACCCCCCCCCCCCGCCTCTCCTCCCTCCCAACTTCGCCACCCTCACCCCGTGTGGAGACTGGGCGTCTCGAAGAGGCGCTGGCTCGGCGCTGCAACGTAGCGGCTTACGCCCTCCGCCGCCTCGCCCGATTGGCTCCATTGACGCCGAGTATGGAAAGCGTCCGTAACAAATGTTTTATTTTAAAGCCAGCTTGCCCGGGCCGCCGGCGCGCACAGCAGCACCGACAGCGGCTCCGGCCAGACGCCAGAACGCGGAGGGAATTTAACAAAACGGCAACAACAACCCAACGCGGAAAAAGGATGAGCGACCAGCAACTCCCGTTGTCATGCTTTCCCGGGGCGACGGCATGGGAGTACCGTGCAGCAGCAGCAGCAGCACATGCAGCGACGGTGGGGGGGGTGGGGGGGAAACTGGGTGGACGCCCACTGGCTCGCTATCTCACTGGCTCGTACGCGTGCCAAGCCTGGCCGGGAAGGCCCGAGGCGGTCATCTAGCGGGCTGCATCGTGAGCGAGTGGCGTCTTTTGGTCATAGGTGAGGTCGTGGGCCACGGGAGGCGAGGGCGAAGGGAGGTGTGGGGGAGGGGGGGCAGGCAGAACGGTGGGACGAGCCCCTGGGTGGCGAGGGTGGTGCGGTTTCATCCCAGATGCCGTGAGTATGCGAGAACGAGTGTGTGTGTGTGTGTGTGGTTGCTGCTGCCTCGTGTGTTTTAGAGTGGGTGTGTTAAGTGTTATGCTCTCAGGACACTTGCCATTGAGACTATTCTGCTCTCCGAGTCGCCACCTGGTTAAAAACCCCCAAAACAAACTAATATAAGTACACGCAGGTATGCACAAAAGGTACGTGTGTATGTGTACCTTTGCACATACACACGGGTGTTTGACTGTAAGCGTTTGAGAAGGGCAACGAGCAGGAATTGAGTCCAACGAAGTACGCTTCAAAGCAGGTCGACCTGTAAGTGCTTGCACGAGTGTGTGATCGCGTGCATAAGTGCGCGCGCACGTGTCCGGATAGCGCGTCCGGGATTTGTACTTGTGTCCAGGCGTACGTGGCCCGTGAGTTAACGGCACTTCGCCCCAACGTTACGTATGGCTATAGAGGGGAAGCCGCTCTGCCTCTTCGTGCGTGTATAGGCGACTTCACGAGCGCATTCACGAGCGCATGCACGAGCCCTCTCGCGTCTGCGCGCCCGCCCGCCCGCCCGCCGGGGCCCAGGGGCGCGCGCGTGAGCGGCAATCGGGCCGCCCACGGCCAGCCTACACGCGCGTGGGGATGACCAGGGTTGAGTGGTAGTGGTGGTGTGGCTGGTGGCTGGTCGGGGGCAGGATGGGTTCCGGGTTGGGGACCGCCGGCTCCTCGACCCTAACAGCGATAGTCCTTCTTGTTGTACGGCTTGTTTCCCAGGATGCTGTCCAGCTCCGTCACCACCTGAGCGGTCAGCTTCGGAAGCACCTGCCGCGCACCGAACAACGGGCGCGGGGTCAAACCCGAGCGCGGCACGGCGGCACGGCGGCACGGCGGCACGGCGGCACGGCGGCACGGCGGCACGGCGGCACGCGGCGCTCCCCCGAGAGCGTGGAGCTCTGGAAGCGAGGGTTGTCGGATGGTGCTGAGATGACGTGCGCAGGGGGTGGGGGGGGGGGGGGGGCGGGGGGGGGGCGCCTCACCTGGATGGCGCCCAGATTCTCAATGAGCTGCTCCGTGTTGGATGCTCCGAGCAGCACCGAGCTCACGCCCTCGTTACGCAGGCACCAGGCTGCTCGCGCACGCACGGGCACAATCGCGGGCATGCAAACCACATGCAAATCATCCGATACGAGGAAGCCACTGGAGCTACGCACTTTCAAACGTGGATTTAAAACTCATTTCTTTAGAACTGCTTTTTGTGTTTAGTTTGTTGGCCTTCCCCCGCACCTCCAATTGGCACGGTTGGCTGCGCAAACACGCACACGACACACGACACAAACGCACGAATACACAAGCGCACTCGCACAGGCACCAGTGCGCACGCACAAACAAAATTGGGTGAACACCATTCCCTGCTGCCTTTTGCCTCTGCCACCAATGTGCACACAGGGCAACGGATACTCGACACAAGGGAAGCCCTCTGTGCCCTGTGGGTACGACCTGCCCTGTGCCTTGTGGGTTACACCTTTGCCCTCTGTGCCCTGTGGGTACAACCTGCCCTGTGCCCTGTGGGTTACACCTTTGCCCTCTGTGCCCTGTAGGTACAACCTGCCCTGTGCCTTGTGGGTTACACCTTTGCCCTCTGTGCCCTGTGGGTACAACCTGCCCTGTGCCCTGTGGGTTACACCTTTGCCCTCTGTGCCCTGTGGGTACGACCTGCCCTGTGCCCTGTGGGTTACACCTTTGCCCTCTGCGCCCTGTGGGTTACACCCTGCCCGGTGTCCTGCACACACCGTGTGCCCCACACTGCGTCCCCCGCGTCCCCCTCACCGATGGAGAGCTGAGGCAGCGTGCAGCCGAGCCTCTCCGCCACCATGAGGATCTCCTTGAGCTTGGCCTGCTGTCGGCGCCCCTCCTCGCTCGTGATGCGCTCCTTCAGCCACTGGTAGCCCTGCCGCACGTGAACGCAACGGGGCTGCGGATTAGTCACGTGACGCAGGTAACGTCGTTGCGTGAGACTCTGGTGACGTCACAGCACGCGTGACATCGCGGCTGTTGCTATCGTATTTTTCACATCTTCACACTGCATACAAACAAGAGAAAGATCCCCCCCCCCCCCGGTATAGGTTTTAACAGACTGTTAGGGCAAATGCTAGTGAGTAGCAGCACCTACGAAGGCCGGCACGGCACAGGAGGGGGTGGGTGGCCAGCAACTCGTCCGGATGCCTTTGTCTCCCCAGCTGATGTTTATACATCACACCAATTTAACACCACGTAGGCTGTCGCGACCAATATTATTCATAATAAACTGATTACCAACGTAGCATATAATTGCAATAACACACATTACAAGTAATTACTAATCTACAACTCAATTCTAGATTTGAAACTTTCGTGACTGCAAGGATCCATACTCTTTGGTTCTATTCGGTAAAGTCACGTAGGTAAAAAAATAAAACAAAAATCACGACGTTTCGGCCACAACACAAGTGGCCTTCTTCAGGTGAAGGAACAGAACTGTCGGGACGACAGCACTTCAATGACCGCTGCTAAGATTCGCAGCGTCTTTTAAGCTCGGTGGGAGGAGCAGGGCGCCTTGACCAAGGAGTTTACATATCAAAAATAGCTGTGTTAAAGTGTTGAAACAGCAGGGTGTTAAAGTCAGAAAATTAGCTGCGGGATTAGCACGTTTTTGTGTAGAGGGTGTGGAGGATGGGTCACTGTGTGTGTGCAATAGAAACGGAAAAAAAAATAAAGATCGGCAAGAATGTGCTGTCAGGGGAGAGTAGAAAAAAGGGTTTAATAGAAAGTTCGGAAGGAATATGCTTGGTATACCATCACTTGAAATTGCTGTTAGAAATTAGTTGACGTTTGGTATGATTTAAAACGTCTTTCCAATGGTTGCTTAATTTAAATCATCCTCTTGGTTGAAGTTATGTCTGTGTTTGTACATCTGAATGGCTTCGTGGACAAATCTCTGGTGATAACCTGTAGGTTTACAGAGAACCTTGGTATCGGAGAAGACAATGTCATGATCACCCATAGCGTTGTAACAATGATCAGCCACAGCAGATGAATTCGTTCTGCCGTGTTTCAGATCTGATTTGTGCTCGCGAATTCGGTCAGAGATGTCGTTTCGTCTCCCCGATTAAACAATCACCGCAGGTACAACTCAATTTGTAAGCTCCGGGGTACTGTAAGTCAGGGATGACATCCTTTACGGATGGGATCAGGTCACGGATTTTGTGTACTGTATTGAACCGGACCAGGATCTTGTGTTTGTTTAGAATTTTGGAGATCTTTTTAGTAACGCCTGCTATATATGGTAGTGTGATGGTTTTGACCGGAGTATCAAGTGGTTGTTTCTGTATGAATCTACAACTCATTACTAATCATAACAATTGACTGATTACCCATCTATTATATAATTACAATACCCCTCCGCCTCAAATCACTGCACCTGACTGAGTTCAATGATGACGTCACTCTGCTGCTGCTCTATTTAAGACCGGGAGCAAGTGAGGGCTTCACTATTCTGGCAAATTGCCCAATGATGCTGGATGTAATTACCAGCGAAACGTCGTACTCAGAAATTGTAAATGTTGTGGATTCACTTTTCAACACACCGGTGGGCTAAAGCAGTGAACCATTTGTCTTTTGTCAACGTGACACTTTTTGTGCCGATTGGCCGTGTTGGGTGGTGGAGGGTTACGACACATTTATAAATAACGCGATCTAACCCAAAAACGTTTATTATTGACATCACACCAAGTACTCATTCGAGGTTGAGTCGACCTCGGAGGGGCCCAGGACCGGTTTAAATATTCATCGCTGTTATTTGGTTGCGAGCGGGAATCGAACTCGGGTCGCCGGGTTCGTAGTGCGGCGTGCTGACCGCTGCGCCACCACTCCCCAACTGCGCGCGAACGAACACACGCAGGCACCACGCCACACGGCCGCGCCCTCACCTTGAGCGAGGCACGCGAGTACATGGGGATCCCGTCCTCGTACTTGCCCGTAATGATCCCGCACGCGAGCGGGGACCAGGTCATGGCTCCGACGCCTACAAAGAAAAGAAAGATCCCCCCCCCCCCACCGTATAGCCTGAATAGACTGTCGGGGCAAGTGCCGCACCTATGAAGGCCGGCACGGCACACGACGCCTAAGCAAGCACGCACCGAGGGGGTGGGGGCAGGAGGGAGCAGAGGAGACGGTTGAATCGAGTGACCGTGTGGGGTTAAATTCGGCTCAACTTTTATTTGACTTTTTAAATTGTATTTTTACCAGGTAAAGCCCATTGAGCTATTATCTCTTTTCCAGAGGCGACCTGTTGTCAGGCCTGCTGTCAGGTCGCCTCTGGGAATTTATAGTAGTCAAATCATAAGAATAGGTTTCCCCCTTTTTTCTGGCAACAAAACAGGTGTTAAGATTTCGATTTAAAGCTCTCGTGACTGCAGGGATTCATATTCTTGGTTCTTTCGGTAAAGTCACGTAGAAGGGAAACAATAAAATAAAAATATAAAACAATACAATTCTCACGACGTTTCGACTGCAACACAAGCAATCATCATCAGGTGTGAAAACCACAGCAAGAAAGTTTGTGTTTGCTGTGGTTTTCACACCTGATGATGATGATTGCTTGTGTTGCAGTCGAAACGTCGTGAGAATTTTGTTTTATATTTTTATTATTTTATTGTTTCCCTTCTACGTGACTTTACCAAAAGAACCAAGAATATTTATAATCGTGTTAAGATGTTAAAACACCAAACTGAAACCTTTTGCAAGGAATCGTGTCTGCATTAACCACATATACTTGTGGTGAAAATACAAACAAAAAACATGCTCTGAGAGTATATGCATTGTCTTTAAAACTGATTGGTCCACACCAGAGACAGCTTTCTTTCGAGCCTAGTCTCAAACAGTGTAAGACCAGAGGACGCTAAAAGGTTTCAGTTTGATGTTTTAACATCTTAATACCTTAAAGTTATGTGAAAACCCTCCCTGTAGAGGCGATTAAATTTTGATTTAAAGCTTTCGTGACTGCAGTAATTCATATTCTTAGTTTTTTCGGTAAAGTCACGCTGAAGGGAAACAACAAAATAATAATATATATAAAACAATAACAAATTCTCACGACGTTTCGACCATAACTCAAACGGTCGTCTTCAGGTGTTTGAGTTATGGTCGAAACGTCGTGAGAATTTGTTATTGTTTTATATATATTTTATTATATTGTTGTTTCCCTTCAACGTGACTTTACCGAAAAAACTAAGAATATCTTAATACCTGCTTTGTTGCCAGAAAAACGGGGAAAACCCTAGTCTTATATTTTGACACTGGCAAAGGAGCCAAATAATCTTTGACACATGTTGGTTCGGAATGCAGAGGGGAAAACCGGAGGTTCCAGAGGAAAATCCACGCGAGCACCACGGGGGAAAGAGAACACGGGGAACTCCAAATACACAACAGGCATCGTCAGGGTCTGGGATCGAACCCTCGAGCTCCTGCGTAGCAGGCGAAGGAGACGACATCTCCTCCCCGCCTGTGCGCTGGCCACTTGGTGAGCACATGGAGACTGCGAAAGCGAGATTCCCAAAAAAAAAAAGACCAACCGATTCTTGAATTGAATCGGAAACCCTCAATCGTGACAATTCATCGAATCGCCGGAGGGTTGAATATATTGACACGCTTGGCGAGAGCCGCACGCCAGTTACATGCGTGGCACAGGTGCGTGTCGTGCGTCGTGTGTGTGCGTGCTTGCGATGAGAATTTGCCTTCTCAGTGGTCTTTGTACCTCCTCCACCCACGATCTCTGACAGCACCACAGCACGATGCTATAACTCGGCTAATGGAGATCTGGCGGGACCTGACGGGTACTGACGGGTTACTCAAGGGACCTGGCAGGACCCAGCAAGGCGCGGACCGCACAGCTATGGAGAGTAAGCGAGGTGCACGAGTGAGCGAGCGAGCGAGCGAGCGAGCCACTCCCCGGACACGCGAGAGTGGTGCTCACCGATCTTGTGGTAGAGCTCAGGCAGCTGCACCTCCACCTTCTCGCGCTGGAACAGGTGGTACTCGGCCTGCTCGCACACCGGCGGGATGAGGTTGAACTGCCGTGCCACCGAGTACGCCTCCTGCACACGTACACAAAGACCCGCCCATATAGCCTTTAACGGACTGTTACGGCAAGTGCTGGAAAGCGAGCACATATGAAGGACGATATGGCACACGAGAGGGTCGCCAACACTACATCACCACTGTCTCTCCAGTGGTGATGTTTTACACACTCCAAAAGGTACTCATTTAAGGCCGAGTCGACCGAGGGGAAACCCGGGACTGGTTCAGATAATCGTCCGTGAGCAGGAATTGAACTCGGGTCGCCGGGATCATAGCGCAGCGTGCCAACTGCTGCACCACCGCTCCCCACGTACACACATGCACGCACACAAACGTACGTAGGGGTGAGCAAGCATCACTGAGAATCGAGATTCTTCCATCTGTCCACTTCCCATGACCAGGTGAAGGTTCATTGGGGCATCAGCCTCAAAGATCAGCCCATCACAGTTTGCGATGTTATGAATTAAAGCCTTCCGTGGGAGTCACGGTTTTCCAGTCCCTTTCAAGAAACTTAAGAATTCTGCCAAGCGTAGTTAACGATCTAATTTAATATCGATGTTTGTGCGGTGTGCAGTCATTGGATGACAGTCGACTCGGTACACTTGAGGGCACGGTTTAATCGCAGGCAGTTGAAACCAGGATTCAATGCGCGTGCGTACAGCACTTGCTCCAAACGTCTATTAAAGACTATACACTGGAACTCGTCTCTTTTATTCTTATCTATGTGTACATGCATGCACACGCATGCGTCTAGGCATGCGTGTTGGCAAGTGTATAGCCACGTGTGCATATTTATATGGGCACGTGCGTAAGTAGACAGGTGTCGAGCACGTACCATAATCTCCATGGCACTCCATCGAGACGTGCCCCAGTACATGGACATACCCTGGTTGATGACGTACGTCATCGCCCGGACAATCTCTGTGCCACGCAAATGACACAAACACACACGCGCGCACACACACACACACAGATGGTACATACGCGCACATGCACACGGGCGTGCGTAGACACAAGCGTCGTGACGAGCGGTTGTGTTGTTATTAAGAAGCGCAACGTCAAATTCACAGCAAAAACACGCGCGCGCGTGCGTTCATGCATATGCTTTTGCATGCTGATGCACGCACCCACGTACGCACGCACGCAACAGACGCACGTGCGCAAAAAGCCATCACGAGCGAGCTGCTGCTGCTGCTGGAAATCCAAAGCCGAGGGTTCACAAGTTTCCCAACTTCCACCGCCGCGCTCCCCCCATTTGTTTACAGCGGGAACGCTCGGCCCTGTGCGCGAGAGCGGCTTGCGCTCGCTTGTGGAGGGGGTGGGCGGGGCGTCGTCACATCGGCAACGGCCCGGCAGAGGAGACTCGGAGAAGCGCTGTGCTCCAGCGGGGTGATGGGGGAGCGGGGGGAGAGGTTTCGCCGCGTTGGTGGCCACTACAACAACAACAACAACACGGCCACACGGTCGGCCGCGTCGAGCTGGTGGCCCAGATATTGCCGAGAGCAGGGATTCTCAGCATTAGCTCTGCGGTATCCACTTCCGTGGGCCATTCCATTATCAACATGAAAGGTTGCATCGCCCCCGTTTGAAATACGAATGGATTCTGCCATCTCACGACGTGATGCAGATAGCGCAGTCCGGCTAAACCTTGGATTTTGTTATTCTTAAGAATGTTATTCTTAGGAGGTGACTAGGAAAAGAGGACGCACGCACGGACTTGTGTGCAGGACATTGCAGACTGTGAAAGGCTTAAAAAAACCACAACCGGCTGATCCGTGCGGTGGACGACCAGCGGAGGCATCAGAATCTTTATTTAGACTAGAGGAGGAATCCGATGAGCTATTAAGCTCTTTTTCACAGACGTCCAGTCGGGGCACGGGGCCAGAAAGCAATGCAAAAGCACAATAGGAGTGCAAAGTATAGGAAAGTAAGTTCACTAAAAAAATAAATAAAAGGTGATCAGGTATAATATAAGTACTAATTGCAAAAGCAGGAACATTGCAAAATATTTATTCTACGTAAAAAAAAAAACTAATTCTGCTGCACGTTGTTGCCATTCCGTGGTTTACGCAAACTTTGGTTTCATTTGGGACGCGTCAAAACATTTCGTCTGGGAGATTGAATTCGTTAGAACGCCACGCTATGCCATTGTTTGTCAAGCTTTTCTGGGGGGGGGGGGGGGAGGGGGGGGTACATCCGCTTTTATTAAAACAACTACCTTGTCTGCTCTTTTAAAAATGTTGCCCAAGTCACCGCATTGCGTCGCTTCCAAAAATGTGACCCTCATCATCCTTGCGATTAAAAGTTATCAAGTCATAGCTCTTCGTCTTGACGCGGGGGGGCCTCCTCAACACCTTTTCAAACACGGGAGTTGCTTTTTTTTTTTACCGAACTTGACCTCGTCGGTCGGTGCAGCTAGCGGAAGAGGGAGGGAGGCGGGGGGGGGCCCATAGATCGGTTCGCGTAAGGCTCATCACTATTTAAGACTGAAACAGGAAGAACTTCTTTCACAATTCTGGCTAACGCCTGATGACGCTGGTTGCAAGCACCAGCAGGGACACGTCGTACTCGAATTGTAAATGTTGTGGGTTTACCCTCCAACACACCGGCGCGCGGAAGTAGTAACGCACTGGCACGTTTTGTTTCAGTGACAAACCTTACTGACGTACTCTTTGGTTCTATTGGGTAAAGTCACGTAGGTGAAAATAAAATACATTTTTACTCTTTGGTTCTATTGGGTAAAGTCACGTAGGTGAAAATAAAATAAATTTTCACTCTTTGGTTCTATTGGGTAAAGTCACGTAGGTGAAAATAAAATAAATTTTCACCTACGTGACTTTACCCAATAGAACCAAAGAGTATGGATCCTAGCAGTCACGAAAGCTTTAAATCTAAAACCTTACTGAATTGGCTGCGACGGGTGGTGGCGGACATAACGACAATTATATTCACGCCATCTACACCCAATTTTGTTTTCATTACGGAGCTCACCACCGATGTAAGCCGCTGTGGGGGCAAACGAACCCAGTTTCGCTGGATTCGTCGAGCAACTGCACCAATTTTGCCCAAAGCTTGTTCGTCACTCGCTTTTACGGCTCGGGAACTAAAAGCCGTGAGCAAGCCCCCTTATACGAGCGACGCACCCCCACAACGTGTTGAAATAAAACGAACACGAAAAAATTCCACTCTCTAAAATGCGTAGAAATGGGTGGCAACCAAACTTGCTCAACCCGACACAGTGGGGGGTCTGGGGGGGGGGCATGGGCATCATCCAGCAGTGGAACAAAGCAGGAAACACTCCCCACACACACAGCAATCGGGGGACCTACTTGCAGTGCTGTTATTGCACCTCTCAAACACAGTTGCTCTATTTCCACGTACTAAATGCACGCCGACTCGAGAGTGAGCCATGGGCTATTGTTATTTTATTGGCAAACAGGGGAAATTCGGGAGGTTGAGGAAACTGTTCTGGTGAATATTACCTACATCCTCTCACACCGGTAAGCTGGATGGATTTTTCTCCGGGACCTCCGGTTTTTCCCTAATCCACATTTAGAATCAACGTCATGCTGTTTAGGATATTTGGCTGCTATAGATTTCCACGTGATAAGCCCCTTCGCTGACACTATCATTTGTGATGGTCAGGTCGTTTTTGAAAAACACCTATATTGCTCTGTGGGCCCTTACCTGGTAAAAATAAAAAAAAAAATAGTTACATGCACATTTAATTTGTTGCTCCCGAAACCTTTTCCCCGATGAATTCTTTGAAATGAATCCAAAGGCCGGCGGTGTTTTCATTGGGAGTGGACGTGGATGGCGGTGGTGCGCCTGATGAATATTTCACGATGTTTGCTGCATTTGTGTGGCGTTATAAAAATAATTTGAAGAGGTTTGCACTTAACATTCCTTTCTCTAGATTTAAAGCTTTCGTGACTGCAAGGATTCATACTCTTTGTTTTTTTCGGCAAAGTCACGTAGGTAAAATAAAATAAATGAAAACTAAATTAAATCACGACGTTTCGGAGGCAACAACAAGCTTCCTTCTTCAGGTGGAAACAGTCACAGCAAAATTGCTGTATCAGGTGAAGAAAGCTCTAAGATACCCGAGATTATATACAGTTAAGGGAAGGGGGGGGCACAGAGATTGTCCGGGCGATGACGTACGTCATCAACCAGGGTATGTCCATGTACTGGGGCACGTCTCGATGGAGTGCCATGGAGATTATGGTACGTGGTCGACACCTGATGATGATTGCTTGTGTTGCAATCGAAACGTCGTGATTTATTTTACCTACGTGAGAGTATTCTCTTCTCTTCTTGTCCTCGCAAAGTCGGAGCAATGAGCCAGTGCAGTCCAGAACTGGGCTTTGAATACATGCAGCCGTTCTCAATCACAGAGAGATTTTTCGACTCTCTCTCGAGTGTGATCCTCACCAGTGATTATATGGAGGGGGGAATCGTGATTATTTAAAATACTCCATGAAAAAATACATCCTAGCCTCACCTCTCTGATCAACTTACATGAGGGTCAGGTGGCTGGGATTTAACCAGTGAAAATTTTAAACCAAACTTTGTATTTTACCAGGTAAGGCCCACTGAGCTATATAACTCTCGTTTTAGAAGCGACCTGGCCACAAATTATAGCTCAACGAAGTGGCTTATCACGTGGAAATGTATAGCAGCCAAATACCCTAAACGCGTGATGTTGATTCTAAATGTGGAGGGAAAAACCGGAAGACCCGGAGAAAAATCCACGCGACCATGGGGAGAACATGCAAACTTCACATATACAGACGTGAGGGTCGGGATCGAAACCACGCCCCCTCCTGTATACCAGACGAGGTATTTAACATTCTACCACCGTGGCAAAACAAAAATGTTAAGTAAATGTTTTGTAATCGGCATTATCCGCAAAACATTTGGCAGGCGAGCCGCGTGCATGTCCGTCACGGGAAGGGCACACGGCTCGCTGCGGGGGATGTGGAGTTCTCGGAGGGAGCGCGCGCCCGTGACGTTGCGATGACGTGCCCGTTGGGTTTTGCCTGTCGTTACCATTGTGATGACGCAGTCGCTTGGCTGGGAGGGGGCAGGGGGGGGGGGGGAGCCCGCTAGGGCGAGTGGGGTCAGAAAGAGTTGGGACTAAGCCTTTGAATTTTGAATATCAGGGCACCCTTTTTGTATAAACTGTACCGTATAGAATATGCAAACATTTAATGAAGAAGCACCTCATACGTTTACTCTGAGCGCATCCTCCGATGAGCACGGTTGGCTATGTGCTCATCGGAAAGAAGTTCAACGTACATCCTATGCAGCCACCACCAACGGCTGCAGTCCAGTCGACAGTTAAAATACACGGCTCTGCGACAATCCACTGTCTAATAGCGGGCTTCCACCCCCGTGGCAGTGTCAGCCTCATGGAGGTTGTTTGAACGACACTTCACCATGGCCTTGTCAGTGCGGCATGGTGAAGCAGGGGCCCCAAGGCCGCTTCAGATATCGCTCGCCACTGACGTTAGCCACGGCCGGCAATCGGTAAGTCAGGTCACCTGTATTATGTACGTTATCGAAATTCTTTCGCACCGTACGTAGCCAACCGTGGCTAATCGGAGGTGCACGAGGACGACAAACTAAACAAACAAAAAAAGCACTTCTAAAGAAATGAATGTTCAATCTAAATTCAGAACTGCATGGCTTGTTTAACAGCACGGTGGCTTGTTGAACCACTCCCCCCCTCCGCCCCGATCCACAAGTGAATTTCATGCAAACGCGTTCCCTCCGTTGCTCCTCCGAAATAATGAAAGAGAGGCACCGAGTGAACTGGCGCGAGCGTTTGTTTACACGTTTCATTGTGCAGTTTTTTGCTTTCCGTGGGTGTGCGCTGGGTGTGAGAGCGGCGCGGAGCTCCGGCTCCCACAAGCCCC